ATAATAACAATAACAATCATCATCATCATCATCATCATCAGTTAACATTCAGAACAATACTGTTAATACTTTGTTAAGAAAAGGAGCTAAGGTCCAATTCTGCCTTCCATGGAAAAAATTCATTTACTCCAGCGGGAACAGTCAGACATTTGGCAAAAAATTCTTGGTAGTAAATTATTAGAGTATCAATTAATATTTATAGTTTAGGCCTGTTGAGGCCTCATAAGAGTGGAGGCTCCATTTTGCCTCACATTTTATGTGCATGCACAAATAAGCAATGACGTACTGTTTTCCCTTCTGATTCCTAGCATAATGATGCACATACAATGAGTGGATTTTACAGTCTCCCAGCCTGTACATTTATTCCTAGAGAGTTTTGCTCGTGTTACAGATGTGAACATGCATGGCTACAGCTTTTCCAGTTTTAGATCAATGAGCCACACAGCAAAGAGCATCGAGTTGGCAGGTCCTCTGCATTCATCCGAATGAAATGAAAGGGAGCTCAGTTCTTGGCTCCAGTTTTCTGTCACTGCATTGTCATTCAACAAAACGGACCAAAGAGAAAAGCGATCAATCCATAAACTCGTGAAGCCTCAGTCTCCAGCTGTCATCAGCTTTGAGCTCCCTCCACTGATCTTATCTGTTGCAGAGTAATTGAAAGTAATTTGTTTTGGTTGAAAGTAATTTGTTTTGGAGAGTAATTAGATTATCTCTTGGGGGGCTTCCTACCTGGTGACCCAGTGTTTCTCCTTGGCTTGCTGCTCATTAACATCAATTACCATAGAGACACTCTTCAAAGGAAGGCTTGCACTGCCCAGGGTGGGGAACCTATTAAGAAATATGCTTCTCATTCCTGCTAGGAGATAATAAACCTTCTGATGTCAAACAATTATTTGTGGGTCAGACACATATGGTCCCACTGGGGCTTAAGCCTTTCATTTGCCATCCAGTGTGAAATGCTTAGTAATTAGGAAATGAGCCAGGTCTTTCTATAACGGTGTATATTAAAGTGAATGTAACAGGCTCAAGCAAACAGCTACGTAACATTTGTGAGCATTTACTAACACTGCCAAAGCGGTAAGGTGCACTGGTAGGCAGGCTACTCTGGAAAAATAGAGACACGTATTCCACACTTGCAGAGGTACTGGGACGGCAAACGAAATACATCTCTGTAGGGGAAAGTGCAGAGAGGCTCAAAAGTTCATGCTTTGACTCTTGTCCCCAGAATCAACTCTTTTTAACTGAGACAATTAATATGGTTATGTATATGACGCAGCACTGATAAGCATCACAATAATAACCAGTATCTATTTTTTTCTGTAATCATGTGAGCTCTAGATGAGTCATTGCCTGACTGTGACATTTACTGGTAGTGATTACATCATTACTACTATGCCATCCTACACAATATCACAAAATAAACAAGAACCATAATGATCCACCTTTTGAACCACGTCTCTTTTTTAGGCACGGCAAATCTGAACAATAAATTGCCCCGGTTCTGCATTAATTTACAAACGTTCAGTCTAAAATTTCCCCCCGTTACATCTGATCTTTGTGCTGCTCGGGCAGTAGAAAAAGGTTATGGAGGGAGCAGAAACGGCCTTTAAAGGTAAGGTTTGGTTGTGGGGGCTTCGCTGGCTGCGTAGAGGTCCTAGCGTCACTTAAAAGGGTGCAGGATGAGCTGGGGTTGACCACGGGGAAGCTGGGGGAAAAAACATGGTGAAAATGTCCTCGTTCTGCAGCTGTTGACGGCTACCTGCAGCTGTCCTGGTCCCTAGGGAGAGGAGTATAAGGAGCGGGACAGCCCGAGAGTCTGTCCCCCCACACTGAAAGGAAATCATCACCAGTGCTTGTAGTCGTCAAAACCCACCCTGTTAGGTGATACTGGCTCTCACGTTTTAAATAGGTGCCACAAGCCCTTTAAATCTCTTTTCTGAAGAGCTGCTAAATGCTAACATCTGAAGTAAATAACTGCCTTTTTTTTTTTTTTTCATTTGTCTTGTTTGGGTAATTAGGTCATTATATCTGAAAGTGATTGTTTTATGCGTGCCAAGAGTGAATAATGAAGACCTTTGATGAATCCAGTGAGCGGCATGTAAATGTGGGGAAGGAATGCAGAGGCAAATGAATGACCTTTCTGAAACAGAATTTCTCCCTGCACCACCATTTTTATCCGCATTAAAGTCAGTTAATGCGTTTACTTTTTCCTGCTGTGTATATTCTAGTTGATGCCTCAATGCTTCCTTTTCCTAATAAAATGCACATTGTTCAAAGTGCTTGCAACGTTCTTTAAATAGGCTACTGTGGGCCTGTTTATGAGCCAGCCAGCGGCTGCTCATATAGAGCTAAACATTTCCTCTTCCCATAGTTTTCAAGGAGTGCTTAGAACTTAAATATTTTTTCAGACTGCGTTTATATGATTTTGATATTAATGCTGAGCTATGGATGATCTTTAGCCACCTCCCCAGCCCCTAAAAATTAAGTTAAATGAAAGTAAACTAGTTTTATTACCCATGATGTTGTTAGTTAAAAAATAAAAGACAAGGACGAGCAATGGAAAATAAATAACCTTTTGTTTTTCAGGACTGATCTGCACAGGAAAGGGCGGATCGACTGCTTCCACTTAGCTGCTCATGTGAGCAAGTACAGGACGTTACTCTACAGCCCGCTGAAACCAGATCGATTCCATGGCACTCACATCATAAATCACACTGAATAAAGCAAAGAAACTGGAAATATCATGAGAAGACTGGCAATGATTTTGTTTCGCAGGCCTTTCCTTCGAGCCCAGGGTGGAGGAGAGCTGCTTGTGCCTGTGAGCATCTTTGCCAGCGTGCACTGATACTGGTGCAAGGGTACTCGGCAGAGGGAGGGTGCCCTGACCCTTGCAATGTGGCCGGTGACCTTGTAATCCTGTCTCACATCTGCTGGCTGCCAGTGGGAAATAAAATTCAGTCCTTCAGCAGCACGGCTGGTTGTGAGAGTGAGGATGCCACAGGAAAATTAAGGTATCCTGAAGAGGGAAGCAAACGCGGCTGCCTTGGTCTGGAAGGCTTCATGGTAGGGAAGAGGAGCAGGTGGCTGAATGCATTTTATCTGACATGTGTACTTTGCAGGTGTACTTTCTGCTTGCAGCTGCACACATCTGTATACACTACCTTCCATTAACTGGCTACGGTGATTTAGAAGAAAATGAGTTCAAATCACTAGATTTTTTTTTTCGGTGTGTGGTATGTCAGTAGAAAAAGGGTCTGTTTATGGCAGCATTTTAGCTTAAGTCAGGATAAATGGTTTGAAGGAAATCTGATTTCCTTCCTTGCTGAGCTTCTGTTTGCTTTCTGGAGTAAGTGGTATCAGAGCATGTGGACCGAATTGACTTTGGATTAAACTAAACCTGAATATGTGCTCAGTGAAGTCCCCTGACGTGCTGTTAACTGCTAATGGCCGTTCAGTCCACGGGACCAGATTAGAACTTGCCTGAAGCAACCCCCTTGAACTGTGTCCAGTGTGGATGCTTAGGTCCTCAGCACCTAGGGACGATTTTGGGACAATTCATGATACTCATACCATCTTTTGTTTTCTTAAATAAATATTTTTTTTCTGTGCATGACAGACAGCAGGTCCAGTAATTCCAAATCTTGACATGGCGTCTGATAAACTCTACTACAGATTTAATTTATTTGCTCAGTGGAAAACATGGTAATGTTTTATTATGCACTTTAGATGCTTTGCCTCTGTCCAATTCACTGCCCTGCCAGCTTAGACTGATGAAGTGAAGAGTGTGAACCCAACTGTGGTGAATTCTTGCACCTGAGCTTTTATATCAGTCTGCCTGCTCTTGGTGTGGGCTGATCTCTGTTTACAAGGTGATTTCTAGCTCTTTGTTCTCAGGTTTCTGAAGTGTATGTCTAAGGAATTATGGAGGGGATTATCATCGACTTCTTATTTACTTGTGGGAAAGCTACCAAGGTAGCTAGGCAAAGCAGGCTGCTAGATAAAAAAAACTAAATGTGGATCAAAAGGAATGAAGTCTGTGGCAAAAAAACTGAATTTCCTCTTGGGAAAATGCCAGTTTTCCCAGCCAAAACATTGCAAATTGTACAAAGTCATAATAGGGAAATGAGGCAGGTCACATATCTCAGAAATCTTGTGGGCAGATGCTCCTGTTTACAGCTGGCTTACAGTTTTGAGATTTTTCCGGGACTATAGAAGACAGAATCAGAGTTTAAAGAATGAACCTCCTATCTGGAATGCAATACAGCAAGTAGGAGCTAATTCTGAAATGAATTTCTCATCCATGGGATCACAGGACAAGATACTTTCTTAATGGTTTTGTTAAACAATGCGACTCGTGGGTCTTAAATCTCCTGTCTACAGAAAACCTATGTCCCTTCTTGATTCTCTGCCACAGTAAGAGAGGAAAAGATGGATAAAGTGACAAGGAGGTATCCATTTGTATTTTTTATTCCACTGAATGTGTTACAAATGTAATTGCCAAATCATTTTCTGTGAACACTATAGAGGAGAAGTATTGTTCGTTTGGATGGTTGATCAGGAATGATTTAGAAGCAAACTCTGAGTCATTTTTAAATGCGTAGGTTACTCGCCCGAGGCGCAGAAATGCCAGGGTATGAATTAGGGAGCCACTCGCCCAGAAGGGTAGGAAATACCATGCATGTGCACGTCCTAAATACAGAAAGTTCAACAGGTTTTCTTTTTGAAACAGCTAGCAGTCACCATCCTAGATTCGTACTAGAAAGTGTCCACTGGTTACTGTTTGTATGAGTAATCAGCTGAATAGCTGATCACGGTTAATTAATTAATAAAAGTAATCATCTCTTAGTGGGCAATTTACAAAGTCCCATTTGTCACTGTCATGGAACATTCAACCATCCTGAGCTAAGAGGTGACTTCTTCAGTTCCAGAAGTCAAAGTAACCCAATTACAAAATACCAAATGCAGTTGTGAGGGGTTTATCAGCTCACGTTTCCCCTTACCCCGAGATTTGAGTGCTGCCCTTCCAACATTTCCAGTTTACGACCACAGATTTTGCCCACTATATCCCTTGGCGGCTTTGCTGAGTCTGCCTTTTCCCACTTGATGCTGCTGCATAATCCCATTCGATCCCCCATATGAACAGCAGGGCTGTGAGGGATCCTAGGGACATTAACAACTCCTAGCAGAAGAAAATAAAATGCCAGCACCCTCTTTATTTCACTGACACAACGATCCTGTTCTAGCTGGTTCATTAAAGGGATGTTGCAAGATAGTGATTACAGGGAAAGTTCAGCTGGTTTCCCTTTGAAATACATAAAGGTGGTGTTCAGGTAATGGTTTTGAATGTTAGTTCTTTTGATGTCTGCAGGCTTTACACTTACACATCTGGAAGCCTGCACACCTAGCTATAAACAGACATCGCAGCTATGTTTCACAGCTGGCTTTACAAAAGATCAGCAGGACGCACATCACTTACAAATGCCACTTTTTTCTTTTCCTTTAGCTTGCTTGAAATTGTATGTTGTTAACTTGTTACTTGCTTTGGTGATTGCTTTATTCATTTTCTTTTTACTCACTTTCAAAGAATAAGCAATCTGGCCCCACAGACTTTGCCGTGTTGCCATAGGAATAGCCGGGGCTGGAGACTGGCATTTGTTCTCGGAAGCCGATTCAAGACCTGCTGAGGAGCGTGTGAAGGCTTTGCTATGGTGCCGAGTGCCCCCAGCCCACCATGAAAGAGCTGAGGATATCCTGCCAATCAAAGGAGGTGTGGTGGGATCAGTTCGGACACAAATCTTATTAATTTCAGTCTCTCTAGCCTCGTATTTAATTACCTTTTACTTCTAGATTCAACTTCAGTCCGTATAAGGAGTGACAAAATGTCATTATCATTTAAAAACTGCTTTATGGAAGCAATGTCTATGGAAAATTTCTTAGTGTCACAGCTTAAAAGCGATATGCATGTTCTTACCCAGAAATGGGAATAACCATCATTACTTTTTGAAAGACTTGGCAAAAAATGCCATTGCATTTGAGATACTGTTTGACTTAGAGAGTCGGTCATATCTTCCCAGGTAAGCGCTGTATTGGTCATGCTGCCTGGTGCCAGCTACCTACCTCATGAAAAAGCAGGTTTGGGGCTTTAAGATTGCTATGTTAAACATAAGGGTTTGCTACTTAGGACATAAACCCAAGGATTTTCCAAATTCAGTTTCCCTACTTTCCAATTTGGTCTCATGTTGAGCTATTGGAGTTAGGGATTGGATATAACTACAACCACGGTGTTAACATCCTTCAAATATTTCTTTATAACTGGAAGAGTATGTCTGAACAGGCTTGCAAGGACATAAGCATGGCTGGAACGAGTCAGATTTGAAGATGAACTTAGTCCAGGATCCTGCCAATTTGGTAGTGGTTGGCTACAGATAGCTACAAAACAATGAGATAAAAAGGACCGTATAGAATCATTCTTCCACCTCCGGCAATATTTGTTAGAGGGACTTTATGAAATGAAGGTTACAATCTGGATCATTGTACTCAACACCTTATAATGGAAGTAACATTTTGTTTGATGACCGCTGATTACAGCTCTGGTATTTTCAGGGAATAGGAGTTCCAAGACGTCCCTCTTACCCCACAGCAGCTTGGGCAGGGGGACTTGTCCAAAACTACAGAGCTGGCGTGTAACTTTCTTCTGTAAAATCTTTGTGGTATCCTGCCCACTCTTTTGTCTTTATCCTTGTGGCTGCTAATAGTTTTTCATTATGGTTTCAAACAAGGTGCCCAGTGTTAATTATTTACTGATTTCTAGTTTTATTGGCCTTTCCTTGAGCCCTTTTGAAAGCAGGCATTACATTTGCTATCTTTCCTTCTTCTGATACCAAGGCTGGTGCAAGCAGTAAGTTTCATATCCCAGTTAGCAGCTCGATGAGTCCATATCTGAGCTCATTTAAACTCTGATACTCTTTGGTCAATAGCACAGGTAAATATCCTGTGGTTAATTACCCTGTGTCATTTACCCCAGGATAGAAATACCTGTGGTTAATTATCCTGTGGCATTTACCCCAGGATAGAAATAGAAAGAAAATACAATGGATGGACAGTTACACAATTAAAACATTATTTATATAGAGCTTTTAGACCAAACTGGCAAAATGTGTAGTAGCAATTCATCAGCTCATCTCTCGGTGGTACTCAGTTTGGCCTAAAACCTCCATCTAAATAATGCTTTTACTACATCAGTGCCCACCCATTGCATTTTTTTTTTTTAAACAAACACAGAAATGAAGGAATCTCCCATTTTATCCTCTAATTTCTAAAAAGTAGAGAACAAGAAAATGCTGTATCTTAGACAAGACAGGTTTTCAAACAGCCAGTTCCCATCCAAGTCCATCAGTCCTCCCTCCCCTTCTCCTCCCCAGGAACACATTCCTGCAAAACTTTAGTTGAAATCGCTTTGTTATTTTCAGCGTGTTCTGCCAGTTTGCAGCCCATGCCATGACACAGCATTCCTCCCGCTTTGTTTGGGCTGCTACGATTTTGAGCTGACATTTAGCAAAACTGCATTAATGCCTCCCTAAGACAAGACTCCTTGTTGAATGCCGTTGGCTGAAGTTGCAAGTTTTAGGCACAGGCATGAGTGGGGCGTGCAGCCGTGAATCCCAAAAGGGAGTTCCCCCCTTCCTTAGGGGTGTATGGCTTGTTTTGCCATGGAACTCGCCTTGGGCATGGGTTGCACCTCTGAGACAGCCGGATAGAGCAAAATCATTCCTCCTTGGAGAACAGGGACTGCCATTTACCTTGGCATTTCAGGGGGCAGGCAGTGTGGGGAAGACTTTTCCAAACCCTATAAAGGCACTCATCATGTACCCGTGAGAGGCTGAGCGCAGATTTTTTGGACCGAAATGGGTATACGTATCTGGGGGGGCATGCTGGGTGTATTTCCTTTCCAGCATCTCATTTAGGGCTTGACTTCACTGAAGTCGATAGGAGCTTCCCTACTCACTTCAGTAGACCTGAATCAGGGCTGCAATATAAAGTATACTGCAACTATAAAGTATAAAACCGTAAGTGCGTGTTTGTTACTTAGTCAGTGCTGATACATCTTTAAATTAGCAGCAAATGCTCTTTTAAAGCCATCACAGTAAAGGTTTTTCACAACAAACCGTCCACTCTGCCAAAGCAGGCAGCTTTTGCTAATAGAGGCTTATAGGTGTTAGCTGGATAGGTGAACTAAATAGTAAATGTTTGCTTTCTACTTAACGAATGTCTGTCATAGCCCTGCTAAGTAGCCAGAAACAAATTACGTGTGAAACTCAGCATCCCTCTCTCTCTTTCTCTCCTGTGATTGGTATTTGCTTATGCAGCCCAAGTCCTTAATTTAATTAATAGGAATATGCTTATTTTACAAATGGTAACCTTGTAATCTCCTTAGCAGGAAAAAAAAGGAACATTTTTACCACAAGCTATTCTTTGTGGCACATCATTTTATTACCAACATTGTTGTGGCCCTCTATTTATTAAAAACTAAATTAGTCTTTCTGATTATTTCCGTTAACTTACAAGTGGATTTTATTTACAGAAAATAGATGGGAAAGCCACAGAAATATCCTGAAGCTGTGTGTCATTAAATGGACTTCCAAAGTAGCTCAATTTTTTAAGTGCTTATGTCAATTATAAAGTGAATTAACGTTGACTGTTTTTAATATTTTCTTTAACAGAATAATTGAGTGGATTCTCCCCTAGCGTCACTGTTTTGAACAAAGTTGTGAACTGTACACTTCAGTGGCATTTCATAGATTGCCATGAAAGGTAAAAAATTAATAGATGTTAATAGCTAGCAGAGGTATTTTTAAGTATGTATATCTATGTTTATATCTATAGACACAATCACAGAGCTGTGGCTGGGGGGTTTAAAGGTAAAAAATTAATAGATGTTAATAGCTAGCAGAGGTATTTTTAAGTATGTATATCTATGTTTATATCTATAGACACAATCACAGAGCTGTGGCTGTTGTATTTTTTGTGATCCTTCAGCACAGCGTACGTATAAAGAGTGCTGGTTCTGCCTTAAATGTGGATTTATGATTGTCAGTTCATGCACTCTTCCCTTTTATCAAGAATATAGCCTTTAGTGCACTCCCACCACCAACATCAAGAAATATTTTTATTGATGGTCACATGTAAAGGCAATTCTGTTAACGCAGCAGCTCGTACAGGTGAGTGCCCGGCTGTGTCCCTGTGAAATCAGTCGACATCTGTAAAGGTAGTGGAGCTCTCTGCAGAATCAAGAGGACAGAATGTTTGATGCTCCTATGAATAGAAACAGAACAACTTGGCAAGCAGATGCATATTTGCTTCCATATTTTTCTTAATTAACTTTTGGAGAGCGTAAACAATGAACAAATGCAAATTTATACTGCATCATCTTCCAAAACTCGAATGGAAAGAAACCTCAGATTTATGTCACCAGGAGAAGTGGATATGATCGTTTTCAGCCTGCAGCTATGGTACCCAAATGAACACATACAACTTTTTATTAAATGCATATACATTCCTTGTTTCTGCATCTGTTCACCTTTCTGTAAGAGTCACAACAAGGTGATTACGGCAGAATATTTTTGTGACTATTAATCTGTAATTCAGCGTGGGTCATTCGATGACTGCACTGGTAGCCGTATTTATTTTCTGTGATCGTTCTGCAGAAGAGCAAGAACATTTGTTTAAACACTGAGCTTTAAACTAATAACGTAGAATACGCTTCCAAGCACATGCATTCCCTCATTCTGTGAGGTCACTAATTTACACTCACCTGACTTGCAAGCAGAAAGTATCAGGAGATCCTTTTTCCGCCAGTTAAAACCTGAAGAGGTTTTTGTTGATTTTTCAGCCTTTATTCACAAAATATTTTAACTAATCTATTTTTCTGTTCTTCGTTTTGCTGGGTACCTGTGAGTACCAGTAAGCTGAGGCTTAAAGGGTCCAAATAAGGGCTAATGATATGCGCTAATTATTCTACTAAGGCCACCCAGGTATGCATAGGAAGACTTTGTTTAGAATGGTAATTACAGTCAGATTTCTAGTGTGAACATTGCCATTGTGATATTTATTTGATAATAAAAAATGTAAAAGCCCCAGACTGAAATGAAATGTCTCAATTTTTAACCTCAGGAAGTGTTTTGATAGACTTTCAACACGTTAATAATTGTGGTTGTATTTACTCTTTTATTACATATTTTGGACCAAGATGTATTCCAAAATTATAATATTTACTGAACAAGCTCTAGTCTAGTACAGCCTGAGGAACAATCACATGAAGTATCTCATTCCATGAAGTCACATTCTTTGCTATTTACTAATCATTAATCCAAAATATTAACTCCAGGAGTTATTTGCCAAGGCATGAAATAAAATGGTATTTTATGGCTAGAATACCTATTCTATAATTTAAATTTTGTATATATGTGTGTCTATATATTTAAAGGAGCAAAATAAATAACAAGAATTAATTTAAAACAAGTGACTATCTTGGATGTGACTAGTATTACTAGAATAAAGATTTGTGGAAGACGTTAAATTTCTGAACTTCGAGGTCAAAGACTCAGTTTATCTTACTGCGTAATTTCTTAGGTTTCCATTTATAGATCTCACTTCAGCAGTGTTTCTGCATTCAAATTCTTTAAAATACAATCACTATTTAACACAAAGCAATGCGTAGAGATGGACATCTATATAGATATCTTTCTGCCCAAAATACACTTTGCTTAGATTATTCCATCAAGGCATACCTTCTTTGCATGGCATAAGACTATCATAGTTGTATTTATAACTTGCATAGTTCTATAAATACGTAAGTGCTTTTCCTTGAGCATGCTGAAAAACCCTGTGCTGAATTGCCCACACTATAATTGTCAAAACAGATACGATCCAGTGAATCACTCTGATAACATATCAGGGAGCACAAAGGACCTGTTTTTTATGCTTTTCTGTCTGGTAAACAGACACTTGATGGTCTAATTCTGCTTCCATTACGGTTTGTGGCTCATACACCTTGCTCTTCAGACGGATGCTTGTGTTGAACTCTGCTGCCGTAGCTAGGCCATCGCTCGCTGAAAGCTGGTTTGATTACCTCTGCAACCCTCAGACATTCAGGAGAGAAACTGCAAAGGACTGAGGGAAAGGGGATATATGGGTAAAAATAAAATGTAGGCAAGTGAGAAGTTCTGTGCTAACCTGAAAAGGAGTTGAACTTAATGCAGAAGATGAAAACCAAGGGCAGGTACCAACCAGAGCAGTAAGAAAGAATTTTAAACTAAAAAAGGGTAGATTCAGACTAGATATAAGGAAGACATTTTTTACGCTGAGGGTGGTGAAGCACTGGCCCAGGTTGCCCTGAGAGGTGGTGGATGCCCCATCCCTGGAAACATCCAAGGTCAGGTGGGACGGGGCTCTCTGAAATCTAGTAGAATATATCCCTTCCCTGCACACGGCAGGGACGAGAGACTAGATGACCTTTAGAGGTCCCTTCCAACCCAAACTATTCTATGATTCTATGAAAATAACCCCACCCTGACAAGAGTGTAGCAGATAGTCCGTGCATATTAACATCTGCAGGAACGAACCTGAGTCACAGGGTCGGATATAGACACGAGTCGCCCCGGTGTTGGCAGAGTTTGCATCATCGCTGCCAGCCGCAGCAGGCAGGTTGAGGTACATGCTTGGTTAAAGCTCTTTGGCCTTAATGTGATTAATAAGGTCTCAAGAATAAAATCTAACAAAAGATCTCAGGGAAAGGGGAAAAGCATAAAAGGCAGGAGAGAAAGGGAGGGTGGTTGGAGGTAACGCAACTAAGAAATATAAGAAAAGGTGAGTAGAAAATCAAAGCAGGAGTATGAAGGAAAAAGGGAAATGGCAAAACAAGAGGAAAAGGTGTCAAAATGGGATGGCGTGGAAGAAGGAAAGGTGCTGGGTTGAATGGGGGATGTTTCTGGGCAGAAGCAGCCCGCTGTGTGGGAGGAGGAAGCCAGGCACAGGCAGGGCTGCTGGGGAAAGGCAGTGCCCGTCACCCGGCCCCGGCAGAGGAAGGTCAAAAACAAGGGAAAAAGCAACAGAGGTATTTTTTTCTTAGGGGCTGTGGAAAAGCTGTAATAAATTGCAGCCAAAGTTATGGCTGTTGGCGGGTTGGCCCTGCCTAGCCGCGTGGGCATGGCCGCTCCTGGAGGAAGCACCACAGGAGACCTGAGGTCGTCGCACGGCAGTAACCTCCCAGCTGCAACGCTCACGCCCGGGGAAATCAGCCCGCTTATCTCAAACCTCATTTGAAGGAAAGGCATGAACGAAAAGACACTCTGGCTCCAGAGCGAGACCACATGGGTGAGATAGCAACCTAACTGCCTGGGTTAATGTGTAACTCCTCATGGACGAGCTCCCGTTCACAGTAGCATCAGGGTTTCTCGGAGCAGGATTCGGCGTGGAAGGTGAGCACCGGGGAGCTGTAACGTGCCCTTTCCCCACCAGGTAATACAGAGCCACTCTGCTGGTTAGCATTAGACGGGAGGGAGAGGAGAGGGGCACCAAGGCCTGGCAGAGCTGTGGTCCTCACCCCGGATGGTGCCTGGTGGAGGAGCCGAGGCTCTCCCTGCTCTTTCCTGGCTGGGGGGGGCTGCCCCACCGCAGGGCCGGGAGGGGGCTTGCAGATGGGAAATGGCCATGATTGTGCTGGGTTTTGGTGTTGATGGCGGGCATGCGGAGGCACTGGAGCAGCCTTGGCTTGGTGATGAAGAAGCCCTGTGGAGGTCATCCATCCCACTGCGCTGTTCAGCCACGAGTTGCTGTGAGCCAGCCTGGGGCAATCCCCACCCCGGACAGGGATCAGAGCCGGCACCCAGTTACCATCTGGCCAAGTGAAAGAGCTTATAAAAGAGGTTTATCCAACAAAAGCTCCAAAATGTTCCTCATGGATGAGCTCTCAAGCTTGCCGAGCGTCCGTCAGTCAGAGGTGCACAGCTGGACATGTCTTCTAAACTTCTTTAACAAGATTCCCCCAAGGTTGGGGTCTCTCCTGTCTCTAATGGATGCTCATCCTGCAGGTGGTACTCCCTTTATTCTCACCAGCACCCTTAACCTCAATGACATTAAACAGCTGTATTGGCCCCAGCTAGCATTACAAACACTTGTCTTGAAGGCACTGGAAGCAAACAGATGTAGCTGCGAAGATGATGAAAAAGTGTGTAAATAGTAGCTCCCCAGAAACCACAGAGTTTTACCAAGTGGCTTTGACACTTGCCAAATACCTTTAAGCTGATAAAGATCTGATTTGTACTTCAGAGGTAACCTGATTAGCAACCAATTTGAATCTGGAATATGTTAATTGGTACAAACATCACTAAATCACTTTCTTTAACCTATATGAAATAGTGTGAATGAATGATAGCAAAGGTCAACACAGCCTGGGGAGTCACAGAGAACGAGTACTTCTGTACCTACCCACAATAAAATAGTATGATTAGTAATAAAATGTAATAGCATGTACACACACAGAATGACACTAGAAGGTATCCAAGCTCAATCCAGCACTCAGAATTTAAGAAAAACTTAATTAAACCTGCTCATGCAACTAAAAAGTGGTCATGCACCACCTTTTTTGTCAGGAGTCCTGCCCCATTCAGTGCCCGGTACAGATGGTGTTCACTAAATGAACACCCATTCCTAGTTTGATTTTGCTCAGCTGCAAGCTGTACAGCTTACTGATCCCATGCTCTCACAAACTCAGTATCTGTGTGTCTCACAAATTTTAATATATTAATGGATATATTTTGAACACTGTTTAGTGACAGCTTGGAAACGGGGAGCTAAAGCACAGAGATATTAATGTCAAAAAGGTGCAGTAATGTAAACTGCCCAGGTTGAAACCTTCTTGGCATGATATTTCATAGTGCTGGTCATTACCCATCATTTATATCCACAACACAGATGCAGCTGAGTTAAGTTTCAGGTGCTCACCGTCTTTGCCACACTTCATGGTGTCATGTCGGGCATTCAGAAAAGAAGGGCTGGACCACTTGTTGCACCACGTTGCTGGCATCACAGGTTACCTGGTGGCAGAGATGACACTAATACCTGATTCTCCAGCGTGGCACTGAACTATTTTCTCCTCAAAAACCTTCCATTCACTATATAATTTCTGCCTCTGTAACAAAGCATATAGGGAACCTATTAGCAACTGTCTTTATTTTACTTACTTGCTTCACGCTCAGCACAGGACCGTTCAGGTTGCAGGTCCATTAGCAGCAGGAGACTTTGCTAAGAAATGGTTCTCAACATTCAGTTTGTCTTTAGCATGGACAAGACATATCTTCTAATATTGTGCTCAAAAGGGATTGCACCATTTTTTTACATGCTTGCAAAAAGTCAAAACCAGTCATCCTTGGTTTTCAGGAACATTTGTTTGAATTTTATAAATTTTTAAGTATCTACAAATGGTCTTAAAATGAAAAAACAATCAATCTGTTCTATAGACAGTACTAACCAGCTTCTTTTTAATGTGTAAGAGTTGTGGTGAGTGGAGTTAAATCCAGCTGGCGGCCAATCACAAGTGGTGTTCCCCAGGGCTCAGTATTGGGGCCAGTTCTGTTTAATATCTTTATCAATGATCTGGACGAGGGGATTGAGTGCACTCTCAGTAAGCTTGCAGACGACACCAAGTTGGGCAGGAGTGTTGATCTGCTCGAGGGTAGGAAGGCTCTGCAGAGGGACCTGGACAGGCTGGATCGATGGGCTGAGGCCAACTGGATGAGGTTCAACAAGGCCAAGTGCCAGGTCCTGCACTTGGGTCACAACAACCCCATGCAGCGCTACAGGCTTGGGGAAGAGTGGCTGGAAAGCTGCCTGTCAGAAAAGGACCTGGGGTTATTGGTCGACAGCCGGCTGAACATGAGCCGGCAGTGTGCCCAGGCAGCCAAGAAGGCCAATGGCATCCTGGCCTGTATCAGAAATAGTGTGGCCAGCAGGAGTAGGGAAGTGATCGTGCCCCTGTACTCGGCACTGGTGAGGCCGCACCTCAAATACTGTGTTCAGTTTTGGGCCCCTCACTACAAGAAGGACGTTGAGGTGCTGGAGCGTGTCC